CTCATCGTCTACGTCTCCACTGTGGTCATTTATGTTGCCACTTCTTGGTTGCCTATTTTTAATTTCTCAGCAAAATTCTCCGCCCATCTCTCCACTATTTGATCCGGCTTATTGATAAATTCGGCTTCCTTAATTTTTATTATGGTTATTCTGGGTTTAAATTCTTTTCTGTTGTGGTTCACATTTTTATAAAATTTTCGCGCTTCGCTTTGTGAATTGAGCCTTTCTAGTTCCTATAGCTGGTTTTCTAAATGTCGTTTTTTCTTTTGTTTTAGTATCTTTTTCTCTGCTTGTCTAAACTGTTTTTACTCCTCTTGGTTTTGTCTCGTCCTTCTGGTTTGGAGTTTCCCATACGCCTGTTTCTTTTTTTGAGTTGCCTGTGAGCATTCCGCATCATACCGTTCTGTCCCCTTCCTTTCTTGTTTCTTCTTTCCTACAACTGTTGTTGCTACTTCTTTCAGGATATTTTCGCACTCATTCCAGTAATTATCTATGTTTTCAATAGTATGACTCATTTGGTCTTCTAGTTTTTTTTTTAAGTTTGTGTTCAGATTTTCTAACTAAGCGTTTCGTAGTCTGTTCACCTCATATTTATCTTCTTTGCTTCCTTTACCTTTTTTGCGTTAGAGATTCGTGCCCTTAGTTTAGCCTGGACCAGGTGGTGATCAGAGTCAATGTTTGCTCCACGTCTGGTACGTACATTCATAACATCGCTGTAATGTCTTGCGTCCACAACTACATGGTCAATTTGATTGATTGTGTTATAGTCTGGACTAACCCAAGTGGCTTTGTGTATATTTTTACGCTTAAAGCATGTGCTGGCTATCACCATATTCATTGAGACCGCAAGGTGTATTAAGCGTGTTCCATTGTTGTTCGACTCATTGTGGAGGCTATATTTTCCAATGGTGGGTAGGTAATCGTTTTCTTTTCCTATTAATTCTTATTTTGCATATTCTGCCGCTTATGGCTTCGAAGTCTATTATTAGGTGCTTCACTCTGCTGCTGTTCCAAGTTTATGCTCTGTTGGGTGGCAGCTATAATTGTATATTTCTGATACTCGAATATTTTTTTCCCAACCACCTAACCTCTTGAAGCACTACCCCCAACCTGGAGGACCAGTTCACTCGCTCTCGTCAGTTTCCGACCCAACTTTCCACCCGGGTTGGATACCGGATCTCCAGTTGGGTTGCTCAGTTTAACGGGGGGCACCAACGTGAAGGTGAGAGTCGGATTTGAGTAGGAGGGGCTAAGTGGAGTAAACTGGAAGCAACTCCATGTGTTCGCATTCCACTCCTTTACCCCCCGATGGAGGTTATTCATGGATCAATATGGTCTAGGAAATAGAAATGAACGTGGTGATAGTTTGATACAATTTTGCCAGACGGAAGAATTTGTAATAGCTAATACACTAATTAAGCTACCAAAAAGAAGATTGTATACATGGAAATCTCCCGGTGATACAACGAATAGAATAATCCGAAATCAAATTGACTTTGTCCTTATTAGACAAAGATTTCGTAATTCTATACTGTCTGCCAAAACTTAACCTGGAGCAGACATCGGTTCAGACCATAACCCCATAGTAGTCACATTACGAACCAAATTAAAACTGGTTAAAAAACCCACACAAAGTAGAAGGGGACCACAAACAAAGGAACAAATTGTAAAAACTCTTACTTAAAATCTACGTAATGCCCAAGAACTGAATAAAAGTAGCTATAACATTGATCAGAAATGGGAAATATAAAAATAGCAATAATTAAAACAGCAAATGAAAACTTAAAACCAAAGAATAGAAAACATAAAGATTGGATGACTGAAGAAATACTACTATTAATGAATGAAAGAAAATCATTCAAAACAAAAAATCCAATTAAATATAATGATGAAACTGATCGATTAATAAAAAGAGATTAAAAGAAGCTAAGGAGAGAATGTTACATGAGCAGTGCCAAGAACTAGAAGAAATTAAGAAAAAATATGACTTTTTTAACATGCATAAAAGAATTAGAGAATTAACAGGAATGAGAAAAACACTTCAAACTAGGCAACTAAGAGATGACAGGGGTGTACTTATAACAGATATAAACCAAAAAATGCAGAGATGGACACAATATATAGCACAACTTTTTGAAGACAAAGAGAGAACAGAAGCACCAAAAGAATTTAAGAATGATACTGGGCCTGACATTATACGAGAAGAAATTGAATATGCAATGAAACAAGCTAAAGGTGGTAAATCTCCCGGGCCTGATGAAGTTTCTATCGAATTACTTAAAATTGTGAATACTGAATCTGTTGATCTTCTTTTGGATCTATTCAATACCATATATAGAACAGGTATAATACCTAAATAATGGCTCCAATCAACATTCATACTGCTTCGCAAAAAAGCCAATGCAAAGGAGTGCAATGAACATCGCACCATAGCCTTAATGAGTCATATCTTGAAATTGTTTTTAAAAGTAATTCACAATAGAATACATAAGAAATTAGATGAAGGCATAAGTAATACACAAATGGGATTTAGGAAAAGACTGGGAACACGAGATGCACTGTTTGCATTAAGTGTTCTTTCGCAGAGATGCTTAGATATTAATCAGGAAGTATATGCCTGTTTCATTGATTTTGAGAAGGCATTTGACAGAGTGCAGCATAATCGACTTAAAGAAATTTTATTAAATAAAAACATAGACAGTAGAGACATTAGAATCATCTGTAACCTCTATTGGAATCAAACAGCAAAAGTGAAAGTTGAAAACGAACTGACCAAGGATATTCAGATTCGCCGTGGTGTCCGCCAAGGGTGTATTATATCACCCTTGTTATTCAATTTATACAGTGAAGCCCTCTCAGAATTAGCGCTTGCCGAGATCAGTGAGGGCCTTATCATAAACGGTGAGCCACTTAATAACATAAGATATGCTGACGACACCGTCCTTCTGGCAGGAACACTAGAAGAACTGCAACACCTTGCTGAACAACTAAATATATATTGCAACGATTATGGACTAAAAATCAATTTGAAGAAAACCAAGTTCATGGTATTTACAAAAGCACAAAACATCAAAGTTAAGCTAGTACTAGATAATACAGAAATTGAACAAATATCTTCGTACAAATACCTTGGAGCATGGATCACAGAAGATACTGATCAGACAAAAGAAATAAGATGCCGCATTGAAATTGCGCGGTCAACTTTTAATAGAATGAGAAAACTTTTTTGTAATCGCGATATCAATATATAGCTCCGGATAAGAATGCTTCGATGTTATATTTTCTCTACCCTTTTGTAGGGAGTTGAAGCTTGGACACTTAAAAAATCCAACATTAAAAACCTAGAAGCATTCGAAATGTGGTGTTACCGACGTATTTTGAAAATATCATGGATGGATCGCAAAACAAACGAACAAGTTCTCGAACAACTGGGAAAACAATGCGAAGTTTTAAATTCCATAAAAATCAGGAAATTGGAATACTTGGGGCACATCATGAGAGGTGAAAAGTACAAACTACTAAGGAATATAATGCAGGGTAAAGTAAAAGGTAGAAGAAGCGTAGGAAGACGTAAAATCTCGTGGCTACGCAATATCCGTGAATGGTTTGGATGCAGTTCAATTGAACTATTTAGGCGAGTAACCAATAAAATTATAATTGCCAGAATGATTACCAATCTCCGATAGGAGTGGAACTTGAAGAAGAAGGAGGTTGTTCCATTGAATGCTAAAAAATTCTATGAAAATATCGAGGGAATGAAAGCATTCTAGAAAACATTGACAGCTTTAATGGAACATTTTGTACCAAATAAAGCAAAAATTTAATAAAACATTATCAATTATAACACGTATTTTTTAGTTTGAAACATCAGATTATGCGCCAAATAGGTACGTCTATTAATCCGGTATTTGGATCTTAATTCATACATATCTTATTCATTAATTAAGCGCGATTTGATGTATCAAATATAAAACATGTCAGTACGATTTTTTAGAAATAGCAACAAAAACAATTTTAAAAACTTTAAACTCATTTTTCTCCAAACTACATTATTTTAGCACTTCATCCTTCATCCGCGTTATGACATAACGCGGTCCATTTTTGTTTTGAATTCAAATTTATTTAAATAAGCAGCATTTGAAGCAACAATTGAAGCAAATTGAAACAAAGTTTTAGCTCAAGTAGGTATTAAATGAATATAATTTTAACTAGCAAGTGAGTTTAAGCAACTTGAAAAGCGCTCTCAATCAATACTTTTAGTTCACACACTATTTTGCTTTTTAAAGTAATGATTTAACAGAGTAAACAAATATACCTAATTGAAAAATATATTTTGAGTAACTTTAATTTGATATTATAAGATGGATGTAAATCTTCTTTATGTTTTGTACAAAATTGTTCCATGGCGCTCTTAATTCAAGCCTACCTGTTTGAATTTGTACATATTTTCATTATTACAATTTTAACCGAAAATACCTGAATGACCAGTTATTTTTTAGAATAAAATTTATCTTGTATCCATATGCTATTGATTTGATTATTTATCAGCATAATATTTAGTATGCAATAATTTAAATAGATTATCTAAGAATACATTTTTAAATTCAAACATGAACCGTTCCTCGATTTAAAAGTCAACGTGGCCTCCCCTAAACGCGAACCGCTTGGACGAATCCATTCTCTTCGTCTCACCTCTCCCACACTGCAACTCGCGTCAGTTCGCGTCAGCGCCGAGCAGTCGAGTCAAGCACATTTTCGATTCCACTGTTGTAAGTGATAGTCGCAAACGCGTTCGTCGTCGATTTCAAAACTACGATCAGTGAATTCGTTTATGGATATTCATCAATCTACACGAAAACTGTGTTTTTGTTGTTCCTGAACTGTTGTTAGTGTGTGTGAAAGACAATACGCGAAGTCTTTTGTGCCAGAAATTTCGGAAATTCGCCAATATTTGTGTGAATTTGGTTGCATAACCTCAAACGTAAACAAAACGCAAAAACATGTATTATAAACCCATTGAGCTTGTGTCATCCAAAACGCCACACTTCTGCAGACCAGAAATAAGAAAAGTCAAGAGAGTTCTTTTCGGAGCTGTCGATCACATCGCCACTCAAAGATTCGTGGACCAAGAATTAGAAAAAGTCAGAGTGACGAAGTCAGAGAAATGGAACTTCGACTTCCAACATGAACGATCATTGAGCCCAAGCGGAGATTACCAATGGAAACCTGCGACTCCTGTTAAAAAACAACCTTTAAGTTTGAAACATGCCATAATTGAATTCGAAGGTCAAGATTTGTACCCCATTCCCGATGATATTATCAGACCTATTCCTATTATGCTTTCATCAACGCCGAGAGAAGAGGTGACGTCACCCAGAAAAACGCATCCAAGAACACAACCACAGCGTCTTATTACCGGTGAGTAATTGATATAAATATAACTACTTTCAATTCTAATTAGACCATTAGCGTCTCAGTGAGTATAACAAAGGGTCTATTATAAATTATACCTATAATCTTAGATAAATTTCAGTTTTGATGATTTCATGTAACAAAAATATTAAGAAATTACTCTGGACCATTCATTATACAAAAGTTGAATGTAATATAACTCAACTAAAATTGTCAATGAGATATTTGTATTACTTTATCTTCTGCTTTTCATCTTATGTATGTAATCAATATTTTAACATTGTTCTGAAAAATCTTTGTATGATTGATTTGTTTTCGTCCTTGATTTTAATCTCTCATTAATACTCAATATCATATCCATTAAACAAATAGGTATTATTTTACCTTCGTGTTCATTTTGAACCAAAACATTTAGATATGGTATGCTTTTCAAAGCCATCTCGTTTAGTTTTGCAAAATATTCAAATGATTTGGTTACTGATTTAAATAAATTAATGTCATTTAGAGAATTGAAGTATTTTTAAGGACATGAGTTTAGGATTTCCTATAAAATTATATTGTATTTATTCTGTTTGTAATTCTTTGTAATTCTGAAGTTCTCTATTTTATCCAATTTTTTTGCATAAATTTGGCGTAAAAAATACATTTTTATTTCAACAGAAAATGTGCTATTGTCTGATAATTATTGTTTTGAATGCATTTCCTTAGCTCTGCTTATGTTTTAAGATACTTATTATTATACCAATTCAATTATTAAAACTGGTTGTTGTATTTTAATTGATCAGGCTTGTACCTACCATTCCCTATAAATATAAAACAAACAACATATTTGTTGCATTCTTAACTTTTATCCTTTGTAAGTTTATACGTTTTTTGATCTTATTTGTTGTCTACTTTGGTCTACATGTATTGTTTTGACTTTACATTTCATTTTTATTTTTTCAATTTCATAGCTGTGATTTTGCTCGTCTTATTATTGATTTGTAGATTCGAAGGCCTCTTAGATCTTTCAACACTGATCAATTGCATTCCCTAAAGCACTCTATCTCTTTAATCCTGACCCCCCAGGGGGAGTGTAGTGGTCGACGTGATGTCGTGTATTGTCCGTCTCCAGAGATCTCTGTCTCTGGTCATTTCTTTTAATTCATGCATAGGTCTTTGGCATATTCCTGTAATTTGATCTATCCATCTTGTTGGGGATCTTCCTCGTGATCTTCGGCTTCTACCTTTCCTTGTATTATGAGTCTTTCCATGTTTTGTGTGTTTGCTCTCATAACATGCCCAAAATATTTTAATTGTTGGAGATGGACTTTACTAGAGAGTCGTTGGCTAACTTTTAGCTCTCTTAAAATTGAATTATTTGTTCTACGGTCGGTCCAAGGAATTCGTAACATTCGTCTCCAACAGAACATTTCAGTGGCGTCTATCTTTCTTCTCTCCGATTGTCTCAGAGTCCAAGATTCACATCCGTAGGTCAGTATTGGGAATATTAAGCAGTTGATCAACCTCATCTTTATCGCTCTTGAAATTTGAGAGTCCTTCCATATTTTGGTCATTTTTGCTGTGGCAACTTTTGCTAGATCACATCTACGTTTAATCTCTTCTTGTAATGACCTGTGTTTGTGATTAATGATCCCAGATATAAGTATGAGGTCACAACCTCGAAACGGTCAATTGTGGTTATGTGTGGATGATTGTTGTGTAGTCTATCCACTATCATGATCTTTGTCTTTGATATGTTTAATTGCAGACCAAATATTTGACTTTCGTTTTCGATCAGTCGTATAAGTTCCATCAGCTCTGCTTGACTATTTGCAAGAAGGGCTGTGTCATCTGCGAAACGTAGGTTGTTTAGTTTATGACCATTTATTGAGATGCCTTTTCCATCCTTCAAGTGCTCTTCGCATAATATACTCCCCATATATGTTGAATAATTGTGGAGGTAGTATACATCCTTGTCTGACACCCCGTTCTGGATGAAACTCGTTCGAAAGTGTGTCAAGTACCTACTTTAACTGATCCAGTAGTGTGTTCATATAGTTCAGTTATAAGCGTAATTAGATGTTGTGGTACGCCTACTTCTTTTTCTTTTAGTATTCGCCATAAGTGTCTCCACTTGACTCTGTCGAACGCTTTACGGTAATCTATAAAACAGATGTATAGTGGGATGTTGAATTCCCTAGATTTCTCGATTATCTGTCTTATATTCAGCAGGTGTTCTCGAGTGCCTCTACCTTTGGTAAATCAGTTTGCTCTTGTGAAATTTCTCTTTGAAGGGATGTTTTCAGTCTTTCATTGATTATATTTAGCATTATCTTGCTGGCATGGGATATAAGAGAGATAGGGATATTGAATAACAATATGCTGAGCGAGTCTCCTGAGCGGATTCCTCCTTTTAATTCAATGCCTTCTGTTTCTCCTGTTGGCATTATAACTCTGGTCTTGTTAATTTCATTAATTGTCCTTATTATCTGATGGTCTATTTGTTCAGCTTGTAATAAATTTAAGATGTCATTTCGCTTCACCCTGTCAAAAGCACTTTTTAAATCTACAAAGCACATGTATGCTGGTTTTCCATATTCAATAGACTTCTCTATTATTTGTCTGATAATAAAAATTGCGTCTATTGTGCTGCGGTTCTTCCGGAAGCCTTGTTGTTCATTTGCCATGTTCGCTTTTTCCTCGATTTTATCTTTGTTTTGCAACCATAATAATTGTTATAACCCTTTAGACTTCTAGATGGATAGTCATGTCACCTTGTTTTGTATGTTAGCTCAGTTTAGTAAAAGACAATTTTTGTAGTGATCGTCCTTACATGAGTACCTAGAGAGGGAAGGTCTAACATTTTTCTAAGGATTCTATTATTATTCTCTATTTAATAAAAAATCTAATATTTTTATGTTTTCTCTCATACGAATGTACTTACCGTGGTAAGACGGACCTCTCTGATTCCTATTAAACAAAGAGTCGTAATTTTCTTTTATAACCCGACAGTTTCGTATTCATATTTATTATCTTTTAAATATTTTAATTACCTAATCTTAAAGTTAATAAATATTTCTCTAAGAAATATACATAAACGTCGATTTTGTGGAAGTGTTTGAATTTCCGCTTTAACGAAGCTATAAAACAGATAAAGGTAGTGGCTATATTTTATGTTGTTTTAAAAACATGATGAATCGATCATCAAATCAATATACGACCTTGCATTGTACTACCATTTATTAAAATATCTGATGAATAATTGCTAAATTGAACATAATTTTGAATACAATTCATTATTGATTGCTCTCTTATTAAGTGCATAACGCTACTCGAATACCGGCAATTATCGTGGATATTTGCACTTTGGTAGGCTCAGTACAATTAATTATCTGTGTCTAATCATGTTCTAGATAATATGTAGATTGGTAGATAATATATGCGGTCCATGGGAGTACGGAAGATTCGATTCAATACGAAAACATTAATCCTCGTCATTGGTCGTTGATTGCTTGTCATTAATGTGACTTATCCTTCTTCTACTTATAATAATCTTCTTTATGTTGATTTCTTATCCCATAGAAGTTGCTGTCCAGCTATTTTAAGTATGTTTCTTTACTCTTTTATAGTCGCCACATCTTAAATATGCTTCTCCTTTTTCCTTGCATTCTTATCCCATAGAAGTTGCTCTCCAGCTACCTATTTTTAGTATATTTCTTTACTCGTTTATAGTCGCCACATGCTTCTTTTGTTCCTAATGATCCACATCTTAAATATGCTTCTCGTTTTTCGCTGCATTCTTATCCCATAGAAGTTGCTCTCCAGCTATTCTAAGTGTTTCTTTACTCTTTTATAGTTGCAACATGCTTACTTTGTTCCTAATGATCCACATCTTGAAACATGCTTCAAGTTTTTCCTGGCATTTTCCATTCAGTTCCTGTTCAACTGTGCTTTTTTTGAGTCGGTCTTGTCTTTTTACTGGATGATTCCTCGTGCTTCCTTAGCTTCTATATCAATAGCATTTTAGTTTCTAAATTGACCCAGTATTCATTTAGAGTCTATATTTGATATCGCTGAATATTTTCTTATTATGAAACATATCAAAACAAAATAAATTACTGCTGTACTGGATAGAGAACAGTTCTGTAGTACTATCTCTTTTGGTCAATTTCTGTATTTATTATAGCTTCAATATATTTATTATACATATATGGAAGCCCATATGTTGGTTCATGGGCGGCTTTTTTGATTGTAAACCGCGTGTGGGCTAACGTGGCATGAGTGTGTTAATATCTTTCAAATATTTTATCTGTAATAGTGACCAATAAGTGATAAAGGGCTTGTTTTTATTTTTTGCGTGATGCGCCTCGAGCATTAAAAGGACGTTTACGCTTTATCTTCTTGTTTACGTGCCATCTCCACGACGGGGGTTGGCAATCATCATGGTATTCTGATCTTAGATGCTGCCGCTCGGAATAGTTCGATTGCTGTGCATCCGTACCATTCCCTTAAGTTACGCAACCATGAGATTCTTCTCCTTCCTACACTTCTCTTGCCCTGGATTTTTCCTTATATAATTAATTGTAATTAAGTATGTTATATTTTTCATTACGCATAACATGCCCCAGGTATTGCTGCTTTCGTGATGGTTTTCAAAATTTCCATTCTTTTGTTGACTCTTCTCATGACTTCGTTATTTGTTACATTCCCGGTCCATGATATCTTTAGGATTCTTCTATACACCCACAGTTCAAATGCTTTCAACTTTTTAGTAGTCGACGCGTTAAGTGTCCATGCTTCTATTCCGTAAAGCAGAGTCGAGACAATATAACACCTTGCCAGCCTAACTCTCAAGTCTAATTTCAGTTTTCTTGCACAAAGTACGTTTCTCATTTTATTGAAGTTTGTTTGTGCGATTAATTATTTTGCCAAGATAATTGTAGTTTTCAACTTGTTCTAAAGTTTTATAATTAATTGTCAGGCTTCCATCATTCAGTTTTCTTGGATGTTTATTGATAATCCATATTCTTCT